GTTATTTCGTTAGTTTTCGTTAACGATAATAACCTTGATACAGGCAACACAAAATCAGTGGGAATCTCCTTCTTTTGTCTTCAGAGATGTAAAAGTAGTGTCAAGTAAGTCTCTCACCGTTACTGGTTACTTTTAGGATTATGAATCCAAGCATTTCACTCATCAAGGTTGTTTTTACTTATCGTTTTAAAATTCTTAGATATATTTTTATTACCAAGTGAGACGTGACAATAAATATGAATGTGATTTATTGTATTATTAGAAATCACAGGTTAAAGGGTGTCTGGTTTTTTAATCTGAGTCCCAAATGATAAGAGTGTCTGTGAACTTTGGCAGGTGACTTTTATATCACATGGCACAATTCTGATATTTCCAAATGAAATAACTGACAGACTGGACAATGCCCTGCTCCTTTCAACACAGAGCAGGCAAGATATGTGTGTACGTGTGTGACGAGCTGACTGAAACGCTGACTAAAGGACGAGCAGATGTGGGTAGAGAATAAGAAAGAGATCATCTTTAAATAAAGCAGTCTGCACCTAATATAGCGAGTCCCTTTTAACCTTGTCTTGTGTCCAACTCTACAAAGTACAACATGAATCAGAATTTAGATTTCTTGCTGGAAATGATGAGCTTGTCTATAGACTAATGTCAGCGTACCATTTAAAAACCCTGTATCTGTTATCAGGAGGCATTAACGCACAGCAGACATTGATACTGTCAGCAAGACCTCTGCTGTCAGCACTGTGCAAAAGTCTTGAGTTATGCCTCGTTTCTTTATTTTATGCTTGCAAGGATCCAACCTTGTTGTAATTCCTAAAGTGCTCTGGAGCAATAGTTCTCCAGGCTTTCTGAGATCTATCAGTGTTTTTCGTTTCTGTCTTGTCTGGACAGAACACTATAGTCACCGACTGGCATCCCCACATCCTGCACCTGTACTGTGATGTAGGATCATCTTGACAGAGAACAGAACAAAAGGCAGCCAACCGCTGAAGAAGAGTTTTGGGATGTCTGTCAAGAACCCTGCAGAACGATTCCCAAAGACTGCTTAAAGAATGACAATAAACCTAAGAGACGATCAGTGTGAGAGATGTCATGCCACCCCATGTGACCTAGGCCATATGTTCTTTCTGTGCCCAAGACTCCACGGCTTCTGGAGTCAGTATTCAGTTATTCTTTCCAAGGCTCTTGGGACCCAAATCTGCATGGACCCTTTTCTAGCTGTTTTTGGGCTTCCAGTCAACAC